GGGGGGGGGGGGGGCCCCCCCCCCCCCCCGGGGGGGGGGGGGCCTGGCCCCGGGGGATTCTCTCCAGGGGAACCCCCCCCCAAAAAAACATCAAATACACGGGGCGTGTCACTGGGCCGGGGGCGTGGCCAAGAATGGGGCGTGGTCTGGAAGGGGTGGGGCTCGGTCCAGAAAACGAGGGTGGGGCTGAGGTGAGAGGAGCCCCCTCCCCAAATCAAACAGAGGGCGTGGTCTGTGCCGGGGGGCGGGGCCTAAGGCTGGGTGGGCACTTGGGGTGGAGGGTCCCTGAGGGCCCAGGGGGTCCCAAGGTCTGATGAGGTCGAGGAGGTCCCCGAGGTCCCCGGGACCCTCCCGGTGTCCTGAACTGGTCCCTGAGGTCCCGGGGGGCTCCGGGAGGTCCCCGAGGTGGCCCCCGAGGTCCCCGAGGCCTCACTGGTGCCCCCCAGGCCTGGGAAGGTCCCCGAGATCCCCGGAGGGGTTGTGGGATCCCCAGCATTTCCCAGGCGGTACCAAAGGACCCCAAGGCCCCCCCAAGCCCCCCCCAGTGCCCCCCAGAGCCCCCCAGAGCCCCCTCACCCCTTGACGAGCTCGACGACAAGGAAGTCGGAGCCGCTGCCGCCGTTGAAGAGGATGAGCCCGTCGGGGGCCGTGGTCTTGAACTGGAAGAAGAGGTGGAAGGAGGCGAAGGCCTGGAGCGTGGCCAGCGCCACGTAGGAGCCGCGGCCCCCGAAGGCCACGGGGTCGGCCACGATGGCGCGGCGGCCGAAGCGCGCGTTGAGCTCGCAGGAGCTGATGTCGCCGTCCCGGCACAGGTCCAGGTAGGGCAGCCCGTTGAACACGAGCCCGCTCAGGTGGCCCAGGAAGTTGGACGGGACCACGGCCAGGAAGCGCCGCTCGGTCACGATGCCCGTCTCGATGTTGTGGAACTCCAGGCGGGTGTGCGAGCCCGACAGCTGCCCTGGGGGAGCAGGGGGGCGCGGGGGGGTCACCGGGAGCCCGAGGACCCCCTGACCACATCCCCCTGTCCTCGTGGGCCCCGTGGACCCCCACCCCGTGTGCCACACCCCATGGACCCGGTGGCCTTGTCCCAGTGCACCCACGTCCCCGGGGATCCGTGCACGTGTCACCACCCGGCCCCACAGACCTGCACCCACGGCCCCACGGCCCCTCAGCCCCACCAGCCACGGCCCCATTGACCTGGTCACCCATTGCCTCGTGTCCCCACGGACCTCTGTCCGTGCCCCCTGGACCTCTGTCCGTGCCCCCTGGACCTCTGTCCGTGCCCCCCCGGACCTCTGTCCATGCCCCCCCGGACCTCTGTCCGTGTCCCCACGGACCTCTGTCCGTGCCCCCTGGACCTCTGTCCATGCCCCCCTGGACCTCTGTCCGTGTCCCCATGCACCTCTGTCCATGCCCCCCTGGACCTCTGTCCGTGTCCCCAGACCTGGCCCCACACGCCACGTCCCCATGGACCTGAGTCTCTGTGTCCCCACTGACCCGGTCACCTCCCCCCTGTGCACCCACGTCCCCAGAGATCTGTGCACCCACCTCCTCGTGTCCCCACGGACCCCGTGGCCTGAGCACCCCCGTCCCCCCGTCCCCCCGCCCCCGTCCCCGCGGTGTCACCTTCGACGGTGACGTTGTCGACGGCGAGCTGGAGGCTGCGCCCGCGCCGGGCCACACGCACCGAGTGCCACTCGTTGTCATCCAGCCTCTGCCCCGCAAACAGCGTCTCGGGGCCCTTGCCTGGGGGCAGCGGGGACACGGGCACCGGGTGACACCGGGACACCGGGACACCGGGACACCGGGACATCAGGGACATCAGGGGACACTGGGGGACACCGGGACACCGACACACCGGGGGACACCAGGGGCACGGGGGGACATCACTGTACTGGGGGCCCTGAGACACCGGTGGCACCAGGGACACTGCACCGGCCGTGCCGGTGACTCCACAGCTCCCGCTGACACCGGGTGACGCCGACGCCGGTGACACCGTGGCAGTGGGTGACACCACAGCACCAGTGACAGGGTGACACCGGGTGACACCGGGTGACACCGGGTGACTCAACACCAGGTAACTCAACGTGACACT